TTTATTTTCATAATTAAAAACTTTTTGATAAAATATTTAATAAAACTAGTCACGTTAAATGATTATTCAACTAATAATAGCAATTATAACTCTTGAAATAACCGCATAATTGGGTCATTTAATTTCACTCTTCTATTGAATAGGCCATTAAGAAAATGACAATTAACATTGAGCAGAAAACTGTTCGTTTCACGTTTTAACATCTTTAATAGGGAAAGTAAGGATTTGTAAAAAGACATGTGAATTCAAATGACACTAATCCATTATACAGGTTGCATCAAAAAGAAACAAAAAGTTTTAATAAACATGGGTCCGCAATTGAGAAGAAAATTTAAAAAATTATTTAAAGAACAAAAAAATAAAAACGAGAAAGTTATTATAAATTAAAAACTGAAGATGTTGAAAAAAACTAAAGAAAATGAAGATATTGAAGGAAAGAAGATTTAATTGACAGTTCTTTAGTTTTTATTTTTTTTTGGTCATACGTCCTATATATTACTTAGCGAATGTTGTAAAGCTCTTAGCTTTTTTTTTCTTTTTTTTAAATATTCTTGTGTATTTTTTGTATTCTATTCTCTTAAAACAAAAAAATAGTTGTTTTTTTGTGTAATTTTGACACCAAAATAACCTGATTTGAGCCCAATTGAAATCTCTTGTTTAGTTTTTACGTACATTTTGATCCATGATTAGTACCATTATTATTATTATTATCTTAAAAAAACGAAAAATTTGTGGATTATTTAATTTTGACACGTACAAGAACTGATTTACGTCCACTTGAAGTGTTTTGGATTCAATAAAAACTTGATAACTTAACCTGAAGAAAATGAGAAGAATTATTTTAATATGGAAGTGAAATTTGGGAATAATATACGGAAATGGAATCAAAAAATTGAAGAAAACCAATCCGACAACACAAAAAAACAAAGAAAAAATATTTATCTAAAAAAAAGCAACGTGGTTGAAACAAAACCTGTTAACAATTGGGAAAAGATATAACAAAAAATTTAGAGAACAAAAATAAAAACTATACAAGAAAAAAAACGTAAAACAAGACAATCAGATAAAAAATTACAAATGTCGAAAAAAACTGAAGAAGATGAAGATAATGAAAATGATAAAGAAATTCGGAAGATCTACTTGACAATTTCAAATTTTATTTTTTTAGTTTATACGTCTTACTTCATGTTGTAAAGCTCTTATGCTATTTTTCTTTTTTTTAATATTCTTACAAATTCTTAAAGTTTTTAGTAATTTGAGGTGGTGTATGTGTGTATTAATTGTATTTTATTCTCTTAAAACAAAAAAAATTACTGTTTTTTGTGTATTTTTGACACCAAAATAACCTGATTTGAGTCTAATTGAAATCTTTTGTTTAGTTTTTTTACGTACATTTTGACCCATGAGTACCATTATTATTTATTATTATCTTAAAAAAACGAAAAATTTTTGGTTTATTTCATTGTGACACCTACAAGAACTGATTTACGTCCATTTGGAGTGTCTTGGATTTAATAAAAACTTGAAAATTTAATCTGAAGAAAATGAGAAGAATTATTTTAATCAAAATAAGAAATAAAGAAGGGAAATTTGAGAATAGTATATGGAAGTAAAATCAAAAAATTGTCATGGCATAATAAAAAAAGAAAACCAATCCGGCAACACAAAAAATAAAGAAAAAAAACTTATTATTCATCTAAAAAAAATAAAATGGTGGTTGAAACAAAACTTGTTAACAATTGGGAAAAGATATAACAAAAAATATAAACGATACAATAAAAAAAACGTAAAACAAGAAAATCAGATTAAAAAATACGTGTCGAAAAAAACTGAAGAAGGTGAAGATGATGAAAATGATGAGGAATTTCACAATTTCACATTTTTCTTATTTTTTTAATATTCTTACAAATTCTTAATGTTCGTAGATTCTGGTGTGATGTTTAATATGTATTTTTTGTATCATAATTCTTATTGTAATGTACAACAAGATTATTCGTTTTTTGAAACATTTATTTGGAATTGGTTCAAACAAAAAAGAGAAGCTTTTAGTAGAAATTCTAAAAATGTTCGATATCTCCGAAACCGTTACTTTTTTGTTTATTTTGGTTCATACTACTACCTTCTTAAATATTTTACAATCTTTTTTAACACATTTAAACTCTCTTGAGTACTTTTTATTATTGCAATTGCGTTGCGGCAATAAACGCGGACCTCTTTTATGTAGCGTTGTTGAATCAGAATTTATTATTCCTATTAACTAAAAGCTTTTTTAAATACATAATTCATTACCACTGAAATGTTTGTTGATTTTTCACCGGCAAACAAATGGCAAATTAAATCAATGTACGATTTAGTAAATCAGTTCACGACCTTCGCGAAAACGACAAGAAAGACTGATATTAGTGAAACACTTCATTAGGCACGCCTTAACGAAACATAAATAAATTTYATTATTGATCTAACTTGTTGTATTTTGCTTGCTGGGCGTGGAAGAACTTTTAATCCATTTGAACTCGTTAGTTCATGCTGGTATACATAAAGATTAAATCGATTAATCATTCCATTGCAATGCTAATAATATTCACTAAATCAGCGCCGGTTTTCGATTTTTCCAAAGCAATGATTAGTAAAACGATAATTCAATTTTGATCAGTATAAAGTGATAAAAATGATCAATATTTAATTCATTTTTGCACAGTAAAAATAATAAACTCTCAGTAACTTTAATCAAAATTAGTAAAACAACATACTGAATATTTATTATTATTAGTGGGTGGTATATGTATGAGCAAGGGCCCCTGCGCAAGAATGATTTTAGCAAGGGCTGGAAACTGTGCACAAATGGTAATCAATTACTGTGCATTTATTATTTTTACTGTGCATTTATTACTTTTTCTGTGCATTTATTATTTTACTGTGCATTTATTATTTTTACTGTGAATTTATTATTTTTACTGTGCATTTATTGTTTTACTGTGGATTTATTTACTGTGCGCATTTATTATTTTACTGTGCATTTATTATTTTTACTGTGCATTTATTATTTTAATGTGCATTTAATTTGTAATTACTTAATTTGCACAATCGCTTGGTTGTAAATTACCCCGAATTGTAGCCTTATTTCAGGATGGGTTCTCCTGTTACTTAAAAAAATCAAATTATTATTTATGAACAAAAGAATTGACCACGGACATGGCGAAAGGGATTATTAATGACATGTTGAAAGCTCTCTTATTATAAATTAATTGAACGTATCAACCAGGTCAGCGGTGTTTAAAGCTCTGATTCAAATCCATTGAATAAGAACAAAGCGAATTTTTTAAAATTTAGACATAAAATGATTGGTTCCGAGTAGTTCTGTTCGTTGACACCGCCACTTCCGTTTGTGAAAGGGTTAGAATCCCGTAATTTGGTCACTTCCGGTTGGGCGCGTGCTTTGATTGATCGACCACACCTCCGATTAAGCAAAAGTGAATCTTACTTGTACATTTTAAACCAAGAGATTGACCTTTTTGTCCAAGAAAATAAATCACTAGAACCACGACATTAATCTTTACTTTTATTATTTTCTTCAAATCTTCTTGTCGGTAGTTTTTAATTATCACTCGAAGCTGTATAATGTTGTGGCTGCTACCAAGTTAGGAACGTAATTCATTTTTAAGCTGGAACATGTTTTACCGTAAATGTAAATCAAACGAAGTATCAAAATTCTGAAAAATGGATTAGCTTGTGGCTTGTGATAATTTACCTACTCTTTTTTTCTAAGGTTACAAGATACCAAGGCCGTACCCAAGGGGGGGATTACGGGGTTCAAATGAATTAATTTTTCATGTGTTAATTATACAGTGTTTTATTTTTATTGTTAGGTACAAATTTAAATAGTTGATAGAATATTTAATTTTAAGACAAAAGTGTTTCGAAAAATGCTATGAAAGGGAGCTACACCCCCTAAAAAAAGTACGTTTTTTAAAGGATTTTTTCTAATATTTCAGAATAGATAAAATTACAAAATTTGGTACCTTTACACCTAAACAAATGCCAAATAACAAATTTTTTAATCAGGGGCGTCCTAAACGGTGAAACAAATTTAATTTTTATGTTGTTTATGGTCTGTAACATAAATTTTTAAACCGATTTTTACTGAAAATCCGTAAATTGTATCGGAAAAACACAAAAGACCTTTTTTTTTATGAAAAACTATGAAATTTTGTTGCTGAAAGTGGCAAGAAACCATAGGCAAAATAGAGTAAATTTTTACCCTAATCCCATCTAGTTTTGGAAGCCCCTAATTAAAAATTTTAACATTGTATTTTTGTACTTGTTTAGGTGTATAAAAGTTATCATCTGTACCAAATTTTGAAATTTTTTTCTAAAATGATTTCGGAAATATTGAAAAATAAAACCTATTAAAATACGCATTTTTCGATATATGTTCATAAAAAAAAATTTTTTTAATGAATATCTCCTGTTTAAATTTGTAACAATAAAAAGTATTAAAAATTTATTTTATTTTTTGAAACCCCCCCCCGAAATAAAATCCTGGTTAACGGCCCTGCAAGATACAACATACCTGGAATTAGTTATCAAATGAATAGACGAGGCATTACATTATGTGAAAAATGTGTATATGTACATTGTCATCAGAAAAAAGTTTGAGAAATTTTAAAATTCTTGAGAATTCTGAAAATCCAGGAATCCAAGAAAATTCCAATTTTTTTCTATATCACACACATGGACACCAACTTTTAATAATTCACACATAACTGTTGCATAATAAATTGCATTTCATTTATATTACTGCAGTTGCATAAGTTTTAAACAAACATAGGTGTGCAAGTATAATTTTAGAGATTCTTTGGCACATTGCCATTTTTGTATCATAATGTCACAAAACAGTGAAAGCTTTGTGTAATATTTTAGGTGAATAACATTCCGACACGAATCTGCTGTTTTTATTAATATAAAATGTGGCCATTTTTACATGAAAATTTTTTTTTCAGTACATGGCAAACCAACAGAATCTACTCAGGACTCCTACGATTATTTCCAGAACGACAACTACGAGGATGAAAATGACCAACCAGCAGAATACGAAGAAGAAGATAAAGATGATGTTAATGAAGAAAACAACAAACCATTAGAAATAACCAGTTTGGGGCAGGAGTTTCTGGCAAACTTGAGTGGAACAGTAGTTCTGCCGTGTGCTATTGTTGGAAAAAGTAAGTAATTATCGTTTCAAATAAAAATTGTTTTGTTCAATTCGTGTTTTTTAACAGGAAAACAAGTAAATGACAAACACATATTTCYCAATTTATTCAAGGCTATTCCTAAAGTTTGTTCATTAATAATAATTAAGGCTCGGATTATTTGCACGAAAAAATCGTACAATATTCGCATAATATTAAGAAATGTGCTCCAATGTATGCCAAATATGCATCGATATGCAAAATTTTGAACAAGAAAAAGTCAAACGTATTTATTTTTTTTAAAAACTAATTGATGAATTATAAAGTTCTATAAAAATGTGATGTTTTATCAAAAATAAAATTTTTCGAAATTTTTGTTATTTCGTTTTTGAGTTTTACAAAAAAATATTAATTTTTTGAAATGGCAACCCACTAAAAAAATCATTTTTTTTCATGAAGGTTATGATCTAAGGGATTACAACTATCTACTTTGTATTAAATTATTTTTTACATATATCGCTATTTAGACAACAAAAATCGAATAACTCCAATACAAAACAAAATTTTGTTCTTAAAATAAGATCATTTTTTATATTACTTTAATTTATATTAAAAAACCGCTTGGTTCAATACAATTTAAAAAGGAAACACTCAGAGTACTAATTTTTTGAGTTTGGCTTACGAATTACCGGTTGTTTTCTCTTTAAAATATTTTGTAGTCGGATCAGTTTTCATAAACTGTCCAAATTTTAATTTGAACTGAAATTTTTAATTTGAAGAAAATATGCACAAATATGCAATATTTCCTAAAATATGCACCAAGTTGCCAAAATATGCAAAATATGCATTTTTTATTTGGCTTATTTTAATTAAAAAACATAAAGATATGCATAGAAAACATAGAAAACTGATAATAATGTTTTGGATGTCAAGGTTTATTTATTTATTAATTCACAGATATTTATTTAAATATGTTTTAAAACATTTGTTTGATTTTTATCATTAAAATTGCACTTCATCTGAAGCCAGACAGTGACCTAGACAGTTGAGAGAACTTGTTACACTACAGACTACACTCATTCAAGGTAATCAATGTCGATGGTCGATTCGATTAAGTTGATTGGCATTTTATTTTTCTCGTCACGAGGAACTTCTCCCTCAAAGTCTTACATTTACATTCCCTTAGAGAATTTTCCTAGTTTTTGGAACCAAAAGGAAAAGAAACTTTACAATGTGATTAAGTCTTAAAGTAGGTTGTTGATATYTTTAGGAGAGCTGTGGATAATTACCTCGTTGATCATGTCATTAGCATGATATCACYTTTAATAATTACAGTCTATTCTGCYAACAAAGTTTGACACTTTAAGTGTCAGAACGAATTTTTTTATGTTTATTAATTCACAATTCACAAATCAAAGAATTTTTTTAACAGTTCTTTTGTTACGAA